CAGAAAGTTTGTTATTTCCTGGGTTTTTTCATGGTTACCTGGACCAAATCAGGAAAATCTTAAAAATCTAAGGCGAGATGTTCCAACTGTATAGGTTTCAGTTGCTAGCAACAAAATCAATTGTTAGTATTAAAATCCCAAGCTATTTTATACTTCACCTTAATCCCTTGTTTTATTTATCTCTTTCTTTATACTACCTTCCTCTATTTTCTTTCCTTTACTTCTCTCTTGCCTGTACTTTATTATCTATAGGTACCCATAGCCACAACTGAGACCTGCTTTGTACATGCAAGATCTAAGAGTTAAGCTCTCAGTGGGTCCTTTCAAACAAGAGGCTAGAGAACCCATGATCAGAATGTTAAGAAAGGGATTCCTGAAATTGGGAAGAGTTTGAACTGGACAACATCTAAAATCCCTTTTGGTTCTATAGATCTAAAAATCTCAAAAATAACTTATAACAAATTTCTCCATTTTTTAAGTTCAAATTCTTAAGTATCCATATAAATACTAGACTGAGATCCCCAAAAGGTCTAAGAATAGAATTTTAGAACTAGAAAGAACCACAAATACAATGTAATCCAGCTCTTTACAAATGAGGAATATAGGACCTGGACCATTGAAATTTCTATATTTAAAACAAAAAAAGCATAAATATTTTTAAAACATAATGAATGAATACTAAATCTGGAATCAGAAAATCTGAATTGGAATCCTATCTACTCTACCCACCAGCTCTATCATAATAAACAACTCTCAATTTCCACAACTATAAAATGAGATATACATACTGGGCACAGTGACTCACGCCTATTATCCCAGATACTTGGAGGCTGCAGTCAGAGGATCACTTGAGCCCAGGAGTTCAAGGTTGCAGTAAGCTACGATTGTGCCACTGCACACCAGCCTGGGCAACACAGAGAGATCTTGTCTCTTAAAAAAACCTTTTTAAAAAAATGAGAGTTGTCACGTTATCCCACTGCTCAGGCACCTAAGTGGCTCCCTAATGTCCATGGTATCCACTCAGCTTCCATTCAGCTGGTCAATTTTCAGCCTCATGGCCTCTGTAGTCAAAAGACTTGGTTTTTAAAGCACTAAATCAAACAGAAACTATATTGTTCCCCATCCTCCATCAGGCCAGAAAAGTAGACAAGCAATTAACAATATATACAGAGAACACTGTTAAAGGGTTAAAGGTCAGAACTGTTATGGAACACACTTCCTGCCCTTAGGAATTTATAGTGGAAATCAAGGGGTCAGAATAGAAGTAACCGTAAAAAGAACACTACAGGAATTTTTATAGGGCAACATATACTTGCAAGGTAGCTAAAAGTAAAACAGGCTCATCACTGATGTTCAATATCAAACAATTGTACTACTCTGGACAAGCCACTTAATTGTCTATATAATGAGGAGCTTAGAACAGATTATTTCTAAGGCATTTTCCAGCATCAACATCCTAAAGGTTTGCAGAGTTAAAATTAATTTAATAAAAACTGAGCTCATAAATAACTAACTTACCTCTTTTAGTCTTCCATAACTACTATCAGACTAGATTGAAGGGCTTTTGGGAGAGTTTAATTGCCCCCAGTAACCTCTCCCTGAAGTTTTTACTATGGTACATGGTTATCAGACAAGTATTAAATGTCCCAATCTCTGCTGCAGATAGATGTGAGCACATGACCATGTTTCAGTCAATGGAAAGTGAGTGAATAAAGAATTTTGATCTTTATTCTCTCTTCCCTTGGCCAGGTTGAAACATAGTTGTATAGTTAGTATGGCTGCTTCAACCTCACAGATTAAAGTCATATGAAGGCAATCCCCTGGGCCCCGGGTTGGCAAAATATATCCTAAGGACCTAATAAATTGACCTATCACCTGTTTTTGTAACTAAAGTTTTATTGGAACACATTCACATTGTTTCATTTATGTACCATCCATGGATGTTTTCATATTAAAACAGTTGCCAAACCCTAAAATATTTATTATACGACCTCTTACAGAAAAACGTTTGCAAGCCCCTGACCTAGGATATATATGATGGATAACAAAATAAGAGGAACCTGGGTCCTTGGATGAACTCACCTACCCACCCTATAGTCATATATTTCTAAACTGTTATATAAAACAGAAAAAAAATGACTTCTTTGAGCTACTGTATTTTGGTATCTTTTTTTTATAGCTGTTTAATGCATATCTAATATATTTTTCCTATATATTTTCATGTGGCCTTTTGCATATATCATGTCACTTACCATACTGTATTGAAACTATCTATTTCCAGTCTCTGTTTCAGCATAATGTCAAATTCTCCATTATGCTATAGATTATTGGAGGGTAGAAGACATCTTACTCATCTTTATAGCCCCGAGATCTAATACCTAACATAGAGTAATTATTCATTAAATGTGTTATGAGTATGACTGGTAAGAGAAAAGAAAAGAGAAAATGATTTATTGCTAAAGCCAGAATTATTTCAAACATCTGTAACATAAAATTGGTTATATTGGCAAGAGACACTTTCATTAATTCATTCAACAAATACTGATTAAGCACCTAAGATACACCAGGCATTTTCTAGACATTAGGATACAGAAATAGAAAAAAAGATAAAATCATCTATTAATATATTTGTATAGTTTACATTCATTCTAGCAAGAAGACACTGAAAACAAGTAGAAAATAAGCAAAAATATACTATCCTTATTAATCGGTGGTAAAGGATCTAAGAAGAAAAATAAAGCAAGGTAAGAAAGAGAAAGAAAGTAATGGAAAAGTTATTGTTTTACACAAAGAGGTCAGGGAAGGCCTCTCTGATAAGAACCAAAAAAAAGTGAAGGAGCAAGTCACACAAATTTTAGGAAAAGGTCATTCTAGGTAGCAGAAGTAACATGAGTACAAATCCCTCAGGGAGGGCCTTGCTTGACTTGTTTAGGAAGGAGCAAGCAAGATCAACGTGGCTGGAGCAGTGTGACAGGAAATATGGAATGAGGTAGAAGAGCGAGCAGAAGGCTCACAGTGGGCCTTGTTGGCTACAAAAAGAACTTTGGATTTTACTCTGAGTGAGACAGGAAACCTTTGGAGAGTTTTGAGTGGAAGAGCGTTATGATCTGACTCATTGTTTTAAAGAATCATTCTGCCTGCTATGAGGGAAACAGACTGGTGGGGGCATGAATTAGGGATGCCATCAAGAAGTCCTGTGGAAAGAAAAATTACTTTAAAACATTATTGTGGACATACTCACTCTTTAGAGTCCTGAGTTCTTTTAGTAACATGCTGTACAACTGTGTCATAGCCAGATTCCTCAACCTGATTCTGATCAGATATGCATTTTTCCATTTCTTCTTCAATCATAGCCCCCAACGTATTACATATATGCTGTCTAAGGTATTTCACAAATTCATAGCTGAAACAAATATTTAAAAAATAAATGCAGTAAATATCATGAGCTTACTTACTAAACATATCTAGAAAAAAAATGTGAGCACGGAAAGATTTATAATGTATCTAAGATCTCTTACCTTAAACTGGGATTAAATGAGTCATTTGTCACAAATCCTCAAGTTAATCTACAGTTTTGCTTTGCCTTTTTATTTTTCTAAGACACATGGCAAATATCATTCAAAGATTACCATGGTGGGGAAAAGGAAATTTCAGGGGCAGCCCAAACTTTAGTGAGTTAGAAGTTTCTTCACATTTCTTTTTTATATTCCCATCTTTAATATGTGATGTTGAAGGGTAGGGAAATCAGTTGTTAAAGATTTTCATAGTTATTCAAGCTGATGAGGAAAACCAGACTGAAATACAGTAATTACGAAAAAATAAATAGGAAAAAGTTAAGCTCTATCATAAGAGTTTGGTGTACATTTTGAAAGTGGTAACTTACCTAAATTCTATCAAAACAGTTCTTGTCTGTGACTAGCATTATTAGTAAATTTAAGATACATTTTGCCATTGGCATTTAAAGACCTTTTAGATTCCAATTTATCTTACCAGATTTATGTCCTATTACTACCCCCACACAGGCCTAACTCCCCAGGTTTTCTCTTCCCAATATCTTTGATAATATTATGTTACCCATTTAGTGTGTTTTACTATCACTCCTTCAGCTAAATTATCTCCTACAACCTAAAATGCTACCTTCTGATAAAGTCTTTCCTAATAATGTTCTTTCTCCCCTAAGCTCCAAAAGTACATTGTCGCTCTCTATCAGCTCTCAAAATATTCTGTCTTGTATGTAGTTATACAACTTGAAACATCCTCTGCTTGGTCCCTGACCACCTCTAAACCCAGATTTTTATATGATTTATATACTTGACAATAGGATAAATCTGCTTGTCTGTGTATCATCTGCAATTCCTTGTACATAGCAGACACTCTATCAATACTTGTTGGATTGAAATTAAGTGCTGGGGAAGGGTTTATCTCTTCATTTCCTACATCAGTTGCTGCCAGTTTGAATTGCTTATCCTTTCTAAATATTTGTTCTAGTGGTTAGTTTCTTGTTCGTTTAATGCCTGTCAACAAATTTCAAATAACATTATGCTATAATTACCCCCATACATGGCCTCTTACTCTTCCTATATTCCCCTGTAAGAAAAAAAAAGAAGAGAAAAAAGGAAAGTGTAGAGTAAAAACAAATCTCCTCTTTCCAACTACCCATCACATTTTTTGGCACTAACATTATATTTCAAGACTTCCAAACCTGCCACCATAGAATACTCTTTAATGTCTCCATCTTTTTCTGTACCTCACACCCACCCACTAGATCATATCCATACAGTCACCAACACTTGTTAATGTTTCCTGCATATCCCTTGATTTCATCACTTCCTTTTTTTCTATTTCTATCAATCAGTACAAAACCACATCACCTATCATTTCTCTGCCTTTTGGCTAAGATCAGTGTGTGCAAAACCACATCATCTTACATGGAGATTACTGCAGCAGCCTTCTTGTCTTTTCACTTTTACTCTTTTCCCTCTCATATTCATCCTGAATACTGCAGCCATATTGGTCCTCAAAAATCACTGATTTCATTATTTCACTCAGAGGTAGAACCATTTTACTCAAACCAACGCATGCACAGAATGCCTCAATAAATATTTTTGGAATTTAAAACTAGTTATTGGATGCCTATTGTCTTTCATGATCAAATACAGCTTCCTTGGCCTGGAGTTTACATACCTAATCAATCAAATGCCTTTATCAGGGTATCTCCACTGAAATGAGGCCACATTCAAAATTCTCAACAAACCAACAACCATGTTGATTTGCATATAACCAGGTAAGAAAATAAGTTATAAGTGACTACCATCTAGACTCTGTGCTAAGTACTTTATTAATATTATTTTATTTACCATATGATAGGTAAAATAGATGTAGACACAGATTCAAAAACTAAAGAGCCTTGTCAAATTCACAACTACTAATTCATTCACCTTACTCCAAAGCCCATGTTAATTCCATAATCCCACCTTCTCCCAAAGATGTAAAAATTACAGAAATATTTAAATAGTAAGATATTTTGTAGTGGTAAATTGAGAGTGGGAGGGGAAATAAATAAATGTAATATTCATATTTTTATCAATTTGTATATAAGTTAAATTTCTTTCATTTGGGAAAGAAAATTATATTTTATTTTCTCAAAATTATAATTGGCATATTAAATTTAAAGTATAATTTACTTAAAAATTGAAGTTATTCATTAAATTTACTTAAAATGTTTAATATTTATACTTGATGTTCAGCTAGTAACTTCTAAGCCTTAAGGGAATAAGTATTAAGTATAGCAAAAAAGGAAGCTAAGGTTATTTTGTAAATTTAATGTCCTACAACATTAGGTCTAAATAGCAAACACTAATTTTCAAAAATATAGTCGAAGAACAACAAAACCCAAAGTTTACTGAATCATATGTTATAGAAAACATCCTCTAATCACCATCTAAACAGGTGTGCTTTTTCTGGTGATTCATCATTGCCTTATATTACTAGAAGATCTTCCTATATATAAGCAAACTTCCCACCCATATTAAAAGTTACCTTATTTTTTATTTGTGTATGTCTAATTATAAACCAAATCTTTGCACATTCTATATAAAACACTGAAAACCTACACAGGCAAGAAAAGAAATTCAAAAATTAAGGTTTCAAGAGAATCCTTTAAAGATGTTCTTAATTTTGTAATATTTGACAATCCTCATACTGCCTTCACAGAAACACAGTTGGCTCTGAGAAAGAGCTGGCAAATGTGCACAGTGAGATCTCAGGAGCCAAAAAAGGTATAAGTTCTCCACCACAACATCCCTGCACAACCAGGAAGCCTCTTAATCAAGAATCAAATTATCTGAAATTTCAATACCATAAAAGTATCGTTGCTTTCTTTGAAATGACTTTAAAAATGAAAAAGATCCTAGAATAATCCTTTCAGCCCAACCACTGTGACCAGGCATCCAGACTCTCACAACTGGGAAAAGAGAGAAAAAAGTAAATGTGAAGAAAGTACAGAGAGAGAAGTTTGGAGGTCCCTAAACATTATCAGGACCCTCTTCACAATCCTGCCGAAAGTCTGTCAATCAGACACATCAGTTTTCCTCCACACCTCTGAAATATTTAGTGGCAAATGAAAGATGGGGCTAGCCTGAGTTATTCCTCTGAAACTAAAGGAAGAGCCTTCCTGAAGATTCTACATACCACTATCGATACCTACTATGCAAATGTAGAATTATCCTTGTTCCTTAGTTTTATCAGCCCTATCTCTGTGCCAAACATCAACCAATTAGGAAAAATGAATATTTAATTGAGAAATATAACTTATTTCTGTGTGCTTTTTTTTATGAAGCCCAACTTATAAGCAACACAAATGATATTTCCATAACTGAGGCAGTGAGAAAATATAATACAAGCCTACTAACATAATTTATTCAATAAAGTGAAGAGAATGCCATTCTAAAATAAAAGTCGTCAAAAAAAATCCCCATTTAGCATAAGCTATAAGTAGCAAATATGCTGGAAAAAATTTAAAATCCCAAAATTTTGGGAACTTGAATAACCACATGCTTTTTTCTAGTGACATACTTTTTACCTATGACCACAGAATTATCTCCTAGAAAACTCAAAGTGCTTCAAGGTTTTGATTCATCTTCCAAATTAAATGAACCCAAGGACCCTACAGTTAAATCTTAAGAGGTTATTGCTCTTTTCAAAAGAATCTTCTAAGAAAAAGAAAATCTCCAGGGATGGTAAGGCCCTTTATCTTATCAGGATTACCAGACTGTCTATGCACATAGGATGCTATACTGACTCACCCATCATTGGAAAACTTTGAGAGCCTTAAATCCCAAATTAATGAACAAAATCATTTCTTCAAGTGAGCCCTTCTATTCTTCAGGTAAGAGTAACCCAAGACTTCAAATTCTCATCCAACAATTCATTTTGTGTTGGTTCTTTTTCCATCTGAATTCATGGCAGTAGCCCATAAAATCCTAAGTAAAGCTGTTCTTCCATAGTGGTGCCCCAGGATAGAAAATTGTTTCTATGACTTGTGGAAATAGTTCTGTAAAACTAAGTACTATGTTGCCTGCATTGTAACCATGATAGTTTTTATGAAATCTATATCTAATCCAAAAAATTGATGGTAACTATAGATTTTTATCAAATATTTTCATTGCATCATTTTTAGAAATTAATCTGGAGGTAGAACAATATTCTACTTATGTTCTATAAAAGTTAAACCTCTGGATGCCTCAAAGAGACTTTCAGAAGGTCATTATACTTATTTGAGGGATTACAAATTCAGATGCTACAAAAGGTAGACAAAGGTGAAGCAAACCATGTGTAAAAGAGAAAAGGATAGAAGCTTTAGTGAACTGAAGAGGACATGCCCCAGCTAAAGGGAAAGCTTCCACAGGGCTCCAGCCACTTGTTATCTTGAAGGAATATGAGCCTGGTGTTAATCTTTCAATGTTTCAAGGAAAGAAAACAGATTTTTATGTGCTATCTCTCAAATTTTAAATGTTGCTTTTAGTCTTTTCTTT